TAATAATATTATACTTAATGGGTGTTATAAAAAATAAAAACAAAATAAATACAACCGTGCGCCATATTTTCAAAGTATTACATTTGATCATACCGTTTGTACATTTTTGTTTTTTGTTTTTTTTTAATTTAATATTGTAATAATATGTTATCATATATTATGCATTATATATATATATATATATACTAACGGTATCCTTGGTGATTTGTTCAATCATTTTTGCAGTAGCTATTGACGCCAATTCCAATTCGGGTTTCATTGCTTTAAGTATACCTTGCATCTCTTTTACTTCCGTTTCCGTGCTCATGAGTTTATTTAAGCCTACGGAGGAGCAAGATAAAGAATAAAAAAGAAAAGAAAGGATAACGTCTATTTAGAATAATGTTATGCTAATATATACAAATTTATTCTAGGCTCTCATCCCTTTTTTAAAGGGAATAAACGAGAAAGTAGTGATCCTGGATTTTGTATCTTCTTTTTTTTTATTTCCCCTTACTTCTACTTCTACTACTACTACTACTATTTTTGATACTTTTTCTTCATTCGTCGAATACTTTTAGAATTTTTATCTGATCCTACAAATGTTCAACTTATTTCGAGATTTACGATTATTTCAACTCTTGATTGTGTTTTAAAACTTCATTATCTCATTTTTTCTTTTTCTTTTTCTTTTTCTTTTTCTTCTTATCTTTTTTTTTTCGTTTAAATCAAATCATTCTCAATAAAACCCGTTATAAATTAATTAAAATTATGATCATTTGAAAAAGATCAATCATTTCTTAGTAATGTAGATTTTCTCTCTCAATTCGTATTTATAAAATTCAAATTAAACATAAAATACAATTAATTTTGTTTACAACGATAGGGTACTTTTCTTCGATTCGAGTAGTATAATTTCGTATTAATTTTAAATACAATTTTGCAACGAAATTTATTTATCAAAGTTTGATGAATGAAACAAATTATTTTATTTTTCATTTTGAACTCTTACTCTTTTCTTTTTAACAAAAAAAAAACAAAAACAAAAAAAAAAGAAATTTTATTTAAAACTTTAATTAAAGGTATCTGTTAATTTACGTTATAGAATTATTTCGTATTTACTGTAAAAATAAAAACACTCTACAACACTCAGTTGAATGTAAAACAATCTTTCATCTTAAATTAGTAAATGCATTTGTATATGTGTCTCTCTGTGTTTCTCTGGGTGTGTGTGTCTCTCTGTGTTTCTCTGTGTGTTTCTGTATGTGTGTGCCTCTTTGTGTTTCTCTTTATGTGTGTGTCTCTCCGTGTGTTTCTGTATGTGTGTGTCTTTTTGTGTTTCTCTGTGTGCGTGTGTCTCTTTGTGTTTCTGTTTCTGTGTGTGTGTGTGTGTGTATCTCTGGGTTTCTTGGTATTTGTATGGAACGTCAGGAATAAATTTTGCAGAACTATTTCAACTGGTTTCCATCGTAACCCGAAATCGATAGGACTAATTTAGAATGTGTTTCCCAGTTATCAGCAATCAGACGGACGGACGACGGGTATATTTAATTTCACGATTATTTCATTATTATTATTACCGGTCTTTCACCTATGACCCTTCACGAGACGACCAACGAACGAACGAACGAACCAACGAAGGAACGAACGAAGCTTTAAAATAAGTTCATCAATCTTTATATACTAACTGATCCCCCATTTCCTTTTTTTCTTTTTTTTTCTTTTTAAATCGATCACAAAAACCTCACTACTTTTCGGAAAAAACCTTACTACTTTTAGTTAAGTTACTCCGAAAGTGAGGTTTTTTCCGAAAAGTAGTGAGGTTTTTTCCAAAAAGTAGTAAGGTTTTTTAGAGAGACCCTACGGACTTATCAGAAAGACCCTACGGACTTATCGGAAAGACCCTACAGACTTTTCGGAAAAAACCTTACTACTTTTCGGAAAGATCTTACGGACTTATCGGAAAAAACCTCACTACTTTTCGGAAAAAACCTCACTTTCCGACAAGTATTCCGAATTCCACAAACAACTTTTCTGAAAAGTAAGGATGATTTTTCCGAAAAGTAGTGAGGTTTTTTCCGAAAAGTAGTGAGGTTTTTTCCGANTTCCGATAAGTCCGTAGGGTCTTTCCGATAAGTCCGTAGGGTCATTCCGATAAGTCCGTAGGGTCTTTCCGATAAATACGTAGGGTATTTCCGATAAGTCCGTAGGGTCATTCCGATAAGTCCGTAGGGTCTTTCCGATAAGTCCGTAGGGTATTTCCGATAAGTCCGTATTTTTTGTATGTCTGTTTTAACGAGACATGATTAAGTGTACTGCTTTTTGCGAAAATTTAAAGTTAATTTATTCGAAAAAAAAAAAAACTTTAAATGAAAATTATGTATTCTATATGTTTGATGTATTTTTTTATGTTTAATTATCGATTTTTTGCTTGTACTATCAATTACAGATCACCCTCTATAATATATAAAAGCAATGACGTTTAATTTATTACCTGTTGATAGACGAGTCATTCCAGAATTTAACTCTTGGTTTTTTTTCGATAGTAGACCACCATAACTTGACAATAATTGTAAATATGAAGTAGGCGTCACATAATTATGACGATTTAATTCCTAAATTTAAAACTAAATCATTTACTTCAATTTTATTTTCAATCAATAATATTATACAGCCTGTTGTTTATGTGGCAAGGGCTTGTAAATCACAGTCTATATAAACTATATACAAGGATGGATTATATTTGATTAGAAACATTTAATAGGTTATGGTAATTTAATCGTATAATTATTCGAATTTATAATTGATGTATTTTAATTTAAGAAAATAATCAATCCAATATCATGTTAGATAGAATCATCATGTTGTAAATCATGTTATTTTTAACGAAATTATTTATTTGAAATTTTAATAAAATTAAAACAGTCAATATCCGAATGCTTTAATTATAAAATGTCATTTACCAAAATATCATTTATCCTTACGACTATGATTTATTATTTTAAAAATTATTTATTAAAACAAATTCTACGAATGAAATTTATTTTTTAATATTATTATATATATATATATATATA